AACCACAGTCCTAACTTTTATAATAACCATCTTGTTGTATTTCTTTATATTCCATTACCAAAGTCTACATCCCTGGCTGGACTCTTGTTTTGCCTTTTTTTTTTTTTTTAATATTGTGCTTAATATGTCTTCTGAGTCTCTCTCAATATGTAGTCTTCCTCTTGCCCATCTCTTTCTTTTCTTGACATTTTATCTGTGGAGTTCCCTTAGTCCAGATTTAGCTGTTGAGTTATGATGGGGTTCAACCTTTTTTCTGTTCTTTGATTTTCTTTCATGTGAATTTAGAGGTTTATTTAGATCCAGGTTTGATACCTTTGGCATGGCTATAGGGGATATATCAGGAGGCATGTCATTTGTGGCTGACTCTCTTTTTTTGAGGTGTTCACAGCTATTTGCTCAGTGCCTAGATGCATTAACTCACTGGGCTTGCAAATGGTGGTATTTTAATTTCATGATTTCTCTTTTAGCTGTTGGTTGAACTCTTTCTATAAAGAAACTCTTTTGTCTGTATTTTGTTTAACCAGCAATTTAGTTCATATAAGAAAGCCAGGAAAAATACTTGATTCTTTCTTCCTAGCCAGTTTTCCCAGTGGTGAGCTTGCTTCCTATCATCCTGTGAAAGTGCCTAATTTTTTAAAGTATCATTATGAATGCATGAATATAAATATATTTCACATTTTCTAATCCATCACAGATAATATTTTTTTGAACTTAAAATTTCTCATCTTTGGTCAGAGGGAGGCTTTTCAAGTTATCTCTCGAGTTCTTTTGACGTAACTGTAGTAATCTTTGCTATCTGGTATGAGGAGATATAGCAGATTCATTCCAAAATCTTGTGCTTTGCTTGCCCCAGATGTGAAAAAGCTATTTGTCCAAGAAGTTTTCATTCCTGTGAGTATTGAATGCTGTTGCAAACCATTGTCTGGCATGCTGAGGATATTTGCTACTGGGTTTGTACTGTTTCGAAGTCTTTCCTGTGAATAGAGTTAGGGGATATTTATATATTTTGAAAGATAAAGAACCTTGGGAGTTCATACTGGTGCTTTCAATTTGTATTCAGTGCTAGACAGTTTTTACATAGCTTCTTTTAAATTATGTATGTATCTCCTTTCTTCCACCAGGAGTCCTGGTTTTCAAAGACCCAGGGGATGAGATATGTATGTTCCACAGTTACTTGTGTACTTCATCTTACCAGTCTTGGAATAATGATATTAATACTGCCATCACCAGTACTTACTAGAAAGTTGATTTTTTTCATCTGTTCTCCCCATTCTCACCCACTTTTAAAATACATTGTATTATACTGTAAGCACATATAGCCTTACTACATTCTCAGTTTTGAACACATACTCTCCCCTTTATCTCTGACTTCCGCACGTAGCTATATGTTTTGAGCTCACAACCAATTTGTATATTTTATCTTTCTAGGCATTCTTATTATTGTTATTATTGTTACTGTCTGAAGTTGTTCTCTAAATATTTCAACAAGAGCTCCTGGGAACAATATTGTGAGTGTGTGCATGCTAACAGGAACTTGTGTCCTTTTATTAAACTTTGAAAGTCAGTTTGGCTGGACAGAAAACCCTTGGCTTACATGTGATTTTCTGGAGTTTCCTAAATATGTTGCTTATTTTCTTTTGGCATAAAACTTCAAAGGCTAATAATAAACTCAATTTCTTTACCTCCTTTTACTTGGATATTCAAAGGACTTTTTTCTTTTTCTTTGAAGTGCAGTTATTGCCAGAATATGTCTTCATGTGTGTTCTGGGTCTGTATTCTCAGGTATGCATGTGTGCTGTTTCAATTTGTAATTTCCAGTTACAAAAAATTTCATGCAGTTTTCTTTAAGTATTCTGTTTCTTTGTTCTGACTTTCTTCGTCAGGACTCTTGTGTTGACTCTTCTTTTTCTTTCTTCATCATTAGTCACTTTCTCTTGACTCCTTCTTACGTCTTTTTTTTTTCTTACGTCTTTTTAATTTCATTATGGTTCTAAAGATTTTCCTTTTCTGTTTCTTTTAACTTGATATCTGCTGTATTTATTTACTCTTGTGTTGCTGCTGCTGCTGCTTTAGTCTTCCTGATTTTTTTCTTTCATTTCTAATTTGTTACTGAGTTCTATTCATTTTTGAGTTTTCTAATTCCAATTTATTTTGTCGTTAATGCCTGGTATTATTTTTTAATATCTTTAGCTTGCTTGAAAAGAGATTTCAGGGATGCTTGGGTGGCTCAGTGGTTGAGCGTCTTTCTTTGGCTCAGGTCCTGTGATCCTGAGGTCCTGGGATCAAGTCTTGCATCAGGCTCCCTGATGGGAGCCTGCTTCTCCCTTTGCTTATGTCTCTGCCTTTTTCTCTGTGTCTCTCATGAATACATAAATAAAATCTCAAAAGAAAAAAGATTTCAGTGTTGAGGGAAGTTATCAGTGGGTATATTAGTATATTATGATTGCTGTTCATTCTCTTTTTAGGATAGCACCTATGGGAATTGACCTTGATCCTTTTATGTTACTCATTTTTAGGTGAAATTAGTTTTCCTTCAGGATGGTTGCTTCAGTTAGAGGGCATGGTTCAGAAGTTAGGTGTACCCAGAAGTTAGAAGGACTAATAATTTCACTGAGCTGCCTCTGTTATTATTTGCATGTAGCCTTAAAATATAGGAAGTCTTACTTTCTGGGACTTCTGGCTCTGTCCTGTCTCTCCTACCCAACCAACACCTTCTTCTGTTTCCTTATCTGAAACTTCTCTTCCTTTGTTTTGTTTTGTCTGGACCTTCTCTTCTGTCTTGTTTTGTCTCTGTCTTGCTCAGTTTTGATTATGTGCTTCGTGGAAGTGATCCCTGGCTGGTCTATTAGGAGAGTTTATAAAGGTTGGACAGCATTCACTCCTTTAGATCTACTGTAGACCCATTTGACTCATCAACTGTGAGAATGGACAGAACCCTTCCTGGTTTCATTTGCACTTCTTACACTGACCTGTTGGGCTTTCCTGCTATTCCGGAAGATGAAGTCCAAAACAGGAAGCAGAACAAACACTAAAAAATATAAAGCTCTCTTGTAGTCCTCCTGTTCTCCAGTCCTTTACTGTCTTTTGCTTCCTCTGCTTCTTCCACACATTCACAGACAACATTCAGAGCTTGTGGCTGTGGGTGGTTTTGGGGTTTTACAGAATGCTATGTCCCCATTTGTGTTTTAAACCATTTGTGTGGGGATCCCTGGGTGGCGCAGTGTTTTGGCGCCTGCCTTTGGCCCTGGAGACCCGGGATTGAATCCCACGTCGGGCTCCCGGTGCATGGAGCCTACTTCTCCCTCTGCCTATGTCTCTGCCTCTCTCTCTCTCTCTGTGTGACTATCATAAATAAATAAAAAAAATAAAAAATAAACCATTTGTGTGTTTTGCTTTTACTGTCTACTTGCTCTACTGTTTTTTTAAATGTTGATTTTATTGCAGTATACTGCACATGTCATAAAATGCACTCCATTCAAGTGTATATTTCAGTGTTTTTAGTATATTCACAAGGTTCTACAACTGTCTGATTCCAGAACATTTTCGTTTTGTTTGTTTTTGTGACTGGTTCCGTGTAGTTTACACTCCCATCTTTCTAGAATTTGTTACAACGAATTTGAACTCAAAAGTGTTTCTTACCCCTGACCTAGTCTCTTCTCATGCTGCAGGAGTAATCCTTGTTAACAAGTCCCAGTGTAACACTGTTAACTTTGTATCTGTGCCATTTTTTAATTCAAACTATTTCCCGTAGTGTCAGAAAGGAAGCTTGACCTTCTGTTTTTTTGGTAATTTATGGTTGTTGGTTAGGAGTTGGTGAGTTTTGTTGTTTTCGAGGTGTGAGTCACATGAGCACTTAATTTTATATAGCTACAGTGGCTATCCTAGTATTTTTTTTTTAAAAGATTTTATTTATTTATTCATGAGAGACACGGAGAGAGGGGCAGAGACACAGGCAGAGGGAGAAGCAAGCTCCATGCAGGTAGCCCAATGTGGGACTAGATCCAGGGACTCCAGGATCATGCCCTGGGCCAAAGGCAGGCGCTAAACTGTTGAGCCACCCAGGGGTCCCTATATCCTACTATTTTTCTGATTTTTTTCCATTATTTCTCTGAGAAGCTTGATTTTATATGTCATTCATAGAAAATAGGAGAATATTATACTTAAAAAGACAAAAAGATTAGTCCAAAAAAGTGAAGCTCTTTCCAGCCACAGCTTATTTTGAACACCAGATATTTCTCATTTTGTTCTGTAAATGTAGATTTAAATATTTGAGGATAGAGATAGTAATATACTATGGTATTCTGTGCTTTTATACTTGTTCTGTCTTTTTATTTAGAAATAACTACGTGGTTAAAATTGAGGCAAGTCATGATTGCAAAGCATTTTGCAAATATTAAGATGAAAATGAAGTGAAAAGGAAAAACATGGGCCAGAAAGAAACTAGATAGACATAGTCGCTGCTCGTGGAGCTATTGATTTCCATTTTCTCTAATTATGTTTGGGTAGAACTGGAAGTATAGGGAGGAAAATGTTTAAGTGCCTTCGTATATGGTATCACATAAAATTTTTCTAACAGCCATGTAAGGAAGTCAGGGTGAGTGTTTATTCCTGTTTTATAAAGAAGAAAGTGTAATAGAGAGTGGCTGTGTTAAGATGTCCTGGGCCATTGATATTTTCCTATTCATAAGTAATATGAATCATCTGGATGCCCAGGTGGCTCAGTTGGTTGAGTGTCTGCCTTCAGCTTAGGTCATGATCCCAGGGTCCTGAGATTGAGCCTGGTGTTGGGCTCCTTGCTTAGTGGGGACTCTGCTTCTCTCTCTGTCTGTACCCACTCCCATGCTTTCTCTCCCTCTCAAATAAATAAATAAGATCTTAAAAGATATGTATGTATAATCTTTCATGCTGCTGGATACTTTATGGCACTTTTTTTCATTTGTGTTTACATATAATAGGTATAGTTCATTTATGATTTCCTGTGGTGTGTGCTTTTTTTCCAGGCAAAGGGTGGAGGTTATGAAAGTGAAGATGCCTATCAAAATGCAGAACTAGTTTTCCTGGATATTCACAATATTCATGTTATGAGAGAATCATTACGGAAACTTAAGGAGATTGTGTACCCTAACATTGAGGAGACTCACTGGTTGTCTAACTTGGAATCTACTCACTGGCTCGAACATATTAAGGTTGGGTATATGTTGTTATTTCCTTATATTATTACAGAATTTCACTCAAGGACTTTCTCTGCCTCTTTGTCTATTTTGACATTCTTCTTACAATTGAAGACGAAAGTATCTTTCTGTACATTGAAAGATTGATAACTGCTTTGAAAATTATAAGTACTTCTAAGGTACGTTGCTTAGATGAATTAGTTTCCTATACTTGCATTTGGTTCTTTTTTTTTTTTTCTTGCATTTGGTTCTATTGTGGTTTTTTCTTCCCCTCTCTTTCCTGCCCTGTCTGAATACTGCCCATCCTTCAGACCCCAGTTCAGATATTATCTCTTCTATGAAGTCTTCCTGGATCGCACTCACTTCCATTTTCTCTGCACTTTTCACTTTACTTTCTCTTTCCACCTCATTAGGTACGACCTCGCACTTCATTTAATTACTTTGTGTCAGCTGGTGTATATGCCTAATTCGTGGAAACTTGGACTGGATAATTTATTAGTGTGTTTGGACCCCTCAGGAGCTAGGGCAGTGCTGTCTGTGTGAATAACAGGCACTCGCTAAATCCTTGTTGTGCGCTTTGTGAAGTAGGATGCATTCTGGTCGGGGAAAGGAGGTGAAGTAGTTGAAGGAAGGGTATGAAGGCTAAATGATGTGGGGACTGCCCTGTGAGTACTGATGTGCTCACCCCATTACTGTTGGTTTTGGAGCACCAGACAGTATTGCACTTAGTACAATTACATACATGTTTTCAGATATAGTCTGAATTTCAGTAATACAGCATTCTGAAGTGTAGACTTCTCTAACCACATATGTATTCATATTGTGAAATGCAGGGAAATGAGATTTTTCATGGTAAGGAGCAGACATGTGCTCACATTCGATTCTCTAAAATTCAGACAGAACTGAAGAGAAGGCCAAAATTACCTAATGAGAATTAGAGATTTTTATTACTATTTCTCTTCTAGATGCTGGGAAGCTTGAATGTAGCTGAGTGTACACATTCCTCAGTCAGAGGATGAGTTCCTGTGGCCCATCTGTTGGAGCTAACACTTGATTTGAAACTAACATAAATTGCAGTGTTGGCTTCTTAAATTGCAGGGCATTCCACCAGCACACACCAAGCTTTCTCTCCAAAAAGCTTGCTACAACAGAAACAAGTTTCATGAGGGGTAAGAGATTAGGCTGTGTGTGGACTACCTTCTTCCCCCGTAGTCCTCACACCATCACAGTTTACCTACTCACCTTCCTCAGATCTCCGCTCAAATATCACCTTTTCAGAAAGGCCTTTCCCAGCCACATCTTACAAAGTAGCAGCAACACCAGCAAGGTGTTTTCACTTACTGCCCTCTGGCACACTATATGTTTTCTTACTTATTTGTGTCCTGCTGGCCTCCCCTGAGTAGAATGTACCAGCCCTTTGTTCCATTCACTGTTCTATTTCCAGCACTGAAAGCAGTGTCTGCCACATGGTAACATCTCCAAAAATGTTATAAATGAAGGAGGGAGGGAGAAAGGGAGGGTGACTACTTTGGATAACTCCTTGGTCAGTCCTAACTTTCCAACTGTTCTAATCCTTTAGGCTAGCGATTCATAAATCTCCATATACACTGAATTACACGTGGGAGATTTTTTTTTAAAGATTTTATTTATTTATTCATGAGAAACAGAGAGAGAGGCAGAGACATAGGCAGAGGGAGAAGCAGGCTCTCTGCAGGAGCCTGATGTGTGAGACTTGATCCCGGGACTCCGGGATCACAACCAGAGCCAAAGGTGGATGCTCAGCTGCTGAGCCACTCAGGCGTCCCACAAGTGGGAGATATTTAAAATGGTAAGCTGGAGTAGTGGAGAATGGGGCCCAGACACTTAAAAAAATGCTCACAGGTGTCTCTGATGCATAGTCCAGATTGACATTACTTCCAAGTACCCCATTTCCAGAATATGCCTATAGTTATAGTCAAAAAGAGGTCATCGTGAGATAATGCAAGCCTAGTAGATCTACTTTATTTCATTCTAATCCATGTTTGGGGCCCATAGTGTTCTTTAAGTATGTATGGTAGCCGTTGCAGAGAAGAATGGGCCTGTATTATTCATTTTAAAGGATATTATACTTTTGTGTTTCTTTTTTGGTTATATCTAATTCTGTCCAGTTTTAACTCAAGATCAACTTCAGAAAAGGTAATTATTTTGCAGTATCTCCATATTTTAAAAAAATATTTTAAATACCTTTTAAATTGACAATAGTAATCTATTGACCTGATGAGAATGTTTCACTCATACTGTACAGAAAAGTAGCTTACTCTCTAGCTTTATACTGCTCTTGTTGTGAGCTATGTGACAGATACAAAAACAGTAAAACACATGCCATGGAAGCTATAGAATACTTTGAGATCCAATTTTATTGCTTTCATATTTATTCTAATTTGGTTAACTATTGTTTAAGTAATATGTACGACTTCATTTGGCATATTATTTTTATTAAATAGATGATGTTGAACATTTGAATATTCTTAGAAACATCCCTTTTAAACTTAATCCTTCTTTTCTCGCACTCATACTGTTGATTTTTACAGAACCCAAAGGTACCCTTCATTTTGGCTCTTCTGTTGTGCAGATTAATAGGAGCCTTCATTTATGAGATTTTTCTAGTTCTAAAGGCAAAAGCATTATAGATCTTTTGCCACTTACAAGAATTCCTTTTAGGAAGGGACTGATGTTTTTTCTCCACATGTTATTGAGACAGTCATATGTAATAAAACTTTGTTAATTTTGAAGAAGGAAGCACTTTTTAAAAAATTTCATTTAAAAATCTGTGTTGCAGCTTATTCTTGCAGGGGCTCTTAGGATTGCTGACAAAATAGAGTCCGGAAAGACATCTGTGGTAGTGCACTGTAGTGACGGTTGGGACCGCACGGCTCAGCTGACTTCTCTTGCCATGCTCATGTTGGATGGATACTATCGAAGCATCCGAGGATTTGAAGTCCTTATAGAAAAAGAATGGTTAAGCTTTGGGCATCGATTTCAGCTTGTGAGTAAAGAGCCCGGGCTCCATATATCACCTGCACCCTACATGAGGCATGTGAGAACAATGCCTTTTATTCACTAGATACTCATCGAAAACTACCGCTTTAGACTAAAGGGGTCAACTTTTAGAGAGAACTTTCTTGTTAGTTGTGGGAAGTGTTAGGATGTCCTCTCATGGCTGTGCAATCTGGCCAGGGCTGTTTGTTGAGTGCCTGGCTCCGTGTCTTCTGTGATCATCGCCAGGGAAACATCAGATACCAGTCCTTGATTTGCAGAGGTGTCTCTATTTCAAATGCAGATTAGCAGGAATGGTTTCAGAATTACAGGGCATTTCCAATCTTGACGTAAAGAAAGCCAAGAATGGTTTAATTATTATTCTTAATTTAAGAATACTTCAAAGTAGCAGCGCTCACATGGAAACAGGGTCTTAAAATAAAAATCAGTCTGGGACCAAAAGAAGGATCAGAGAAAAAAAAAGAAAAATTTAACTCAGAGTTGGGAATAAACAGCTTTTTGATGATCCTTCTTAAAGTACTAACACTGTAGTGAGCATCCATATGGAGAGTGTTGCAGGTAGTTTTATGGAAATGACAAATTTTTGTGCCCTCCATATAACTCAGAATTTATTTTGATGTTGTCATTGGTCTCATTCTGAGTTGGCAGGACTGGAGATCCAGGCATTCATTGTTAAATGTCTTCTGTGGTGTCCCCATGAAATGATATTTAGTTTCTTCGTTAATACCTCCAGAAACCAGCAGCTAGTCTCTTCCTCAGGCTTTCCAGTCTCACTTCAGAAAATCTACTTACTAGAAAGTTCTTTCTCATAATGAACTAAAATTTCCTTCCCATTTCCCCTTTGAAGACAAGAACAAATATGACTACTTATCCAAATAAGATAGCCCTTCAAAAATTTTGGAAGTAAGTATCTGCCCATGTCATGCATAAACTTAAGTTCTTCTGGCTAAGCATTCATTTTCCTCAGTATTTTCCCATCTTAATCCCCTCTTCACCCTAGTTGTCCTCTGGACTTTTCTTTGGTCATGCCTTTTTTCTAGTGTGATACCCAGAACTAATCACAGTTCCTAAAGTAGAGGAATGGGGTTATTATGTCCCTCTGAAATGATACCAAGCTTTCAAATTTCCTTTTTTGTTTCACTGTACTTTGGATTCGTGTATTCATTCAAGTGATCTTTAGCTGTGTTTCTCCTAAACACGAAATCTGCAATCAGAAAACTTGAGAACAGTAACTGTGTAGGCCCTGGTGCTCATGTGGTGCTCATCTGTGCTAGTTGTAATCATAGAATTGAATAAGGAATAGGAATATTTTCCCAAAAAGGAGGAACAGAGTGATCAAAAGTCTAGATGGGATTGACCTTGGCAAGAGTAGAGTTGAGGGAGGGGCAGCGTTAGAGAATCACGAAGGGAAGAGTTAGATAGTCAGAAGCGTTGAAGCCACTGAGAGTGTGCATGCTCTTGGCAGCATTGTCCTAGATTTGCTGAAAGACTTTCTGAAAGGTGTTTATCCAGATGCTGACTCTAATGTTAACCATTATTATTCTGTGGTTACCAGAGTATACCAGCAGTGTTTATAAGTACAGAAGACCCTTGCATAATGCACAATACGAGGGGGTTCGGGATGTAGTCAAAAATCCACATGTAACTGTTGACTTCTCTCCAGAACTTAACTCCATATATAGCCTATGATTGACGGAAGCCTTACCGAAAAGATAATTTACACACATTTTATATGTTGTATTTATTATATACTGTATTATTATTAAAAAGTAAGCTAGAGAAAAGGAAATGTTACTAAGAAAATCATAAGGAAGAGAAAATACATTTACATTTCTGTAAAAATTCCATATGTAAATGAACTCGCAGAGTACAACCCCTGTTGTTCAAGAGCTAACTGTTAACTTGAAAGAAACAGACATTTAAAGGTAGTCTGCTCTTTTGAACTTGAACCATTAAATAAAATTGGGCATCTGGAGTATCTTTTCAGATGGCTCACGTTTTTCAGTTCTTGCTAAAATACACTTACCATGAAAAAAATTACCAAAACCCTCTAAGTTTTAGTCATCCAGAGCTGGACATGTTCACGTAAATGTGGCCAAAATAATAAATATTAAAAACTGTTGGAAGTTGCTATGGATTCCTAAATTGCTACCTCTGGTTACCTACTGCATTTTTTCCCCTCTAGTTTATCTGAACACAGAATTTGCAGTTGAAGGACAGTTGGTCAAGAGGGTACATTCACTTGGTTAATGTAGAGTAATGAGTCTCCAACTTGTAGATTTCAGGACCTCTTTCCATTCTTAACAATTATTGATAACCCCAAGAACTTTGTTTATATGGTGTATATCTACCAATATTTACCATATTAGACGTCAAATTAAAAAATGTTTATTAATAATAAATCTCTCTTAGTCTGTTTGGGTTCCTGTAACATAATACCATAAACTGGGTGGTTTGTAAAATTTCAACAGAAATTTATTTCTCACAGTTTTTAAGGCTGGAAATCCAAGATCAGGTTGCTAGCATAGTCTGATTCTTGGAAGGTCCTAGATTTTGGATTGTGGATTGTCAACCTCTTGCTGTGTCCTCATGTGGTGAAGAGAGCTAGGGAGCATCTGTGGGGTCTTTTTTTTTTTTTTTGTGGGGTCTTTTGATAAGAGCACTAATACCATTTATTATTAGAGGCTTCTGCCCTCATGACTAGCAGCTCCCCGGTGATGACTCCTGCCATTACATTTGGCATTAGGATTTCAACATGAATTTTGGGGGGCGGGGGGCACAAACACTCAGACCATAGTACTACTATACGTTAACCTAAATAACATTTTAAAGAAAACTGTATTTTCCAAAACAACAGAAGCTTAATGTGAAGAGTGGCGCCGTTTTAGAATTTTGTGCAAATTTCTTTCATGTCTGGTTTATTAGAAGATTGCTAAAATTCACAACTACTTCTGCATTCGGTTTACTGCAATGTGCACCATTGTTTGAAGGAAATGAGGAAAATCTGACCACACACAGATAAGCAGGTTAAAAATCAGAGTGTGTCTTAATAGCTTTCTCAGGGAATTATGGATATTCGTTCATACTTGGCCAAAATTTAGCAAATGCTAATTTCTTTGAGGTTACTTGTAATGTGGAATCCAAAACTAAATTGATAGGTTTTTCATTGTTTGTTCCATTAAATTCCATTGGTCTGCCTTGTGCTTTGAATAGAACTTTTACCCATGTATGATTCTGTAGCATCATGTATTGGTTATTTAGAAAATACTGGCTTTACTGATTTACACAGCTCTTCCAGTGTTAATGTATTTCATTGTTTACTATCATTAATATCTCACTGGTTAGTACCACCATTGATATCAGAAAGTCTGTTATGAAGTTTATGCCAGGTGGTTTTCCAGAAATCTAATTTGCACTCAAAACTTGAATTTCACCATTGTTTTTCTTGAAATGACACATTCACTTTGTACATTTTCAAAAAAATGTCTGCAAGACATTCAGGTCTTAATAACCATAGTTCTTTCAAGTAAAAATGATGATCCATGAACAAGTGGTGTTTTTTACCATCAACTTAAGTTTTGCAGCAGAAGAACATGATGAGTGTTTCCCAGTTTGTGACACAGGATATTAAAAAAAAAAAAAAAAAAAAAAGCTGTCCTTAAGGGGAGAGATTTAGTAGGATTAATTTTTATTTCATCAAGGAAACTGGCTCCCTCCCTTTCATTTAACTGCAACTCTGTGTCAAGGCGGAACATGACACTACCAGTGTAGCTTGATTCCAGGGCCTGGCTTGATTTCTCCTAAGGAACCTAGAGTTTTCTCCTTTGTCACTTTTGCACCATTGGTGTAAATGTCAGTGCATGGAAAAAGGCAAGTAACATCTTAGTATTATTATGACAGTAGTTTTGACATCACAATCCCCCCCACTCCTTCCTGGCCTCTGGAAATTTACAGACCATACTTTTAGAATCACTGCTTTGGAGTGTGGAGGGTCTGTGTCAGTCATCTGGGGCAAAGATCCTTAGAAGAAAAAACTGAGAAAGGAGGTGAGTACATGCTTGGAGGGCAGATGTGAAGCATTCTTTAAAGGTTTTCTAGAGTTTGTGCTAATGTGATTCTTTTCAATAAAGACAGATGAGCTAAGATAAGATACAGCAGATCCCCCACACGTCCTGGCCAAGGTGTGATTCCTGAGGCTGTTGGACAAGTAACTGTTAATATTTAGGGAATATTAAATCTCTGCAACAGAAATCTGGGTTTTGAGGTCTGAGTGCTCCTGTCTTCCACTATCAACCTTTTAAGATCTGGGTTCCATTTTTTAAACAAAATGGTAATTCCCATTACGAGCATCCCATGTCAGAAAACAATCTGGCAGTTTGTACCTCACACTGGTAACAGAGACCTCTGCTTGGTAAGGCTATGAGTGATTTCTATTTTCCTTGCTGTCCTCTCTTCAAAAGACTTTTGAACCTTAAAAAATATTGCAAGATATTACTTTTATTGGAAAAGAAAATTACTTCCATTAAAAAGAAAACTCCCACCAAGCTCATATAGTATTTCACTCTTTCTGCTTCAGAGACTTGGCCATGGAGATAAGAACCATGCAGATGCAGACAGATCACCTGTTTTTCTTCAGTTTATTGACTGTGTCTGGCAAATGACAAGACAGGTAACTTATCTAGGATAATCATTTTTACATTTTTCTTTTAAGCCATCTGGAGTTGGGAGGTTCGGTCAGTGCTTATCCTACATTTCATGTAAAATGGAAATTCTTGGAAGATTTCTCGGTAATAGAACTATTACGTGTTATTATATTATGTAAATTATAGAAATGAAAAGGTATTGCTCAGAGATCATAGTAAACACTTGACAGTTTGACCCATTAGCATTTCAACCAGTGGCATTAATAATAACGCAAGAGATTTCCTCCTTCATTTTGGACAAGTAGTTAAATAATGACAGTATATTTACCTGGTCACTCATCTATACATTGCTAAGAAAGATAGAAAGATAGGTTTACATGGGAATTATGGTTAGGTAGGTATGCAGTAGGTTCAGTTGTGTTTTTGGTATGGAGAAATTGTTTTTTAGATCTTCAATCAACTTTCTAACAAATCGATGGAAATATTAATGGTAATGGATTTTAGTCTTTTGGAAAAGTATCAGATACTGAGAAACAATCTGGCAGTTTGGATCATTTCAGTTGTGAGGCAAAGGGTTAGTGTCTTAAAAATATTTAACTCTACCCAGGAAAAACATCTCAGACCTTCACTACAGCTCATTGGTATATCAGCTAATTATTTACCCAGGAGTTTATTAGACCTCACAACTGGGAGTCCGGTTTGTTGTAGTTAGACCGCCACATGAATATAAAATGGGGCATTTGGTGGCTCTGCTTTGCTTTAGGATTACACTTTAACTTCAAGAAAATGCTGTTATTTCATTAAAAGAAAGCGAATGGGGACGCCTGGGTGGCTCAGCGGTTTAGCGCCTGCCTTTGGCCCAGGGCGTGATCCTGGAGACCCGGGATCGAGTCCCAAGATCAAGTCCCGCATTGGGCTCCCTGCATGGAGCCTGCTTTTCCCTCTGCCTATGTCTCTGCCTCTCTCTCTCTCCGTCTCTCTCATGAATAAATAAACTCTTAAAGCGAACGGTGATCTTCAGGTGAAACACACCAATTATATAAGCATTTTCCCCGTAAGCATATCAATTTGGGTGGATTATTTTGAAAGCTCCTGAGTCAAATGCAGTGTTGTAGATACATCTACAGAATGAAGAGGCTGGTATTTTAACGTATATACTGCAAATGTGTATGACAGTTTAATTTTTGTTCTGTAAAAGGCCCTTGGTGTGTTGGAGGGAGGGGAGATGCTACATAGTTTGATGATGTTCACTACTTCTTGGACTAGGTTTGAATTTTTCCTTTGGAATTGCTTTTGAGGTAGTATAGCAGCTCTACAAATCCTTGCCAATCCAGTTTTGGGGGTTTGACCAAAAACAAGAAGACCCACTATTGGCCATTCCTGTATTTGAGTTTTAAATGTTTGACTCTTGGCAAAAATTAAAAATGCCGTATAAAAAGGCTGGAGAAGCTGTTTGAAATTGACACCACTGATGGCTGACTATCCTGTTCTCTGACAGGAATGGTTTCAAGGGGCAACATGTGTGAATGTATTAGTTCATTTCTAACATGTGCCAGTTGTTTGCATAGAAGAGTACATGATAAATATCTTTCTTCCTTATGTTTATTGACAATCATCATTTTTATAAATAATTGAACTTTTGTGCAGACTTAAGTAGCACATTTGTCAAAATGACACCAATTATGTTGTGATTAGCCAGATTCTACTAGTCCCCTACCCTAGCCCCATCCCCATCCCCTCACTAGTCCCCTATCCTCAGCCCCATCCCCATCCCCACCTCCTGGGTCAGGAAGCAGTTGATGAAGGGCCCTTCCGACTTACTTACTTTCTACTTTCTTCTTTCTTTCTCTCTCTTTCTTTGTTTCTTTGTTTCTTTCTCTTCCTTCCTTCCTTCCTTCCTTCCTTCCTTCCTTCCTTCCTTCCTTCCTTCCTTTCCTCCTTCCTTTCCTTCCTTTCCTTTCCTCTTTCCTTTCTTTTCTTTCTTTCGTTTTTAAAAGATTATTTATTTATTTATTCAGAGAGAGATAGAGAGAGGCAGAGACACAGGCAGAGGGAGAAGCAGGCTCCATGCAGAGAGCCCGACGCGGGACTCGATCCTGGGTCTCCAGGATCACAACCCGGGCTGAAGGCAGCACTAAACTGCTGCGCCACCGGGGCTGCCCGCCCTTCCGATTTCAAACACGTGAGGAGAAAATGTTCCTCTTCTGCTCAGAGCAGTTCCTGCTGTGCTCCTATTGTTTTGTGGGAGCACATGTCCGCTGTCAAATCTCTCTTCTCTTCTAATGACTGAGCATGTGGTTTTGCCAAAAAGACGAAAAACTAATCACAAGCTTAGCTCCTTGGGATGGCTGTTTAATGAGTTTAGAGTGCATTCACAGTTGGCTAATGCGGTTATTAAGAGTGTAACAGTACAGGAAACAGGATTTATTTTGTAAATGAATGAATGGTATTTGACCAAATATCTTACAGGTAATTGGCTTTTTGTTGGCATGTGCTGGATCACCTGCTTCAGCTTAGAAGCCACAAAAGTTTCGATTCAAGGCAGGCTAGTAACCCTTCATTGTTCAATAAATACCTTGCTTATAATTTTTGGAAACGTCAAGGCAGAGTTGCTTTCATTCCTATCCCATTTTCATGGCTCAGGCTGTTTTCTTGTACTACTGGGTAGGGATCATTCTAAGAAAAACTTGGAACCAATATATATTCCCCAAATCTGCAATCTAAATATTCACAGTTCTTTTTCACAGTCCTGGAATCAGTACAATTTTCATGGAGACTTTCAAATAATTTTGAAGTATTAGATGCATATACTAACCCTTTCCCTTCCTGGGACCTGTCATCCTTCCTTGATAAGCCCCCCACATTGATTGTTTATGTAATATTAAGATATCCAGTCAAGCTCTTGTCCTAGGTTAAAGAGAAAATGATTTTTTGTTTGTTTGTTTGTTACAAGGAGGCTGCCAAAGTACTGGATTATAGGATACTCTGGTTTGAGTGCTTGGCTTTTAAATGATCTGCACATCTCCTTGGATCTTTATTTTTGTATGTTGCTGACATTTTCTGGAGGCATTGATATTTTTTGTGTAATTCCTAATAACAAAACTATGTTGCTGAAAATTTAAAGAAAATCTTCTTATATTGTTTATGGTCATCTTTGGCAAAGAAAAGCTCAGAGTTCCAGAATTTCCAACTTCAAAATGTATCACTCTTCAAGTTTGGTACTAACAGATACAGGAGATACAGAAATACCAAGGTCACACCATTCACACTCTTGTTGCACAAGAAAAGGATATTTGGGGAGAAATCTCAGAAGAGTGATAGAGTGACTTTCGAGCAGAGAACGAAGTGGATGATGCCATTATGGCTTAGAAATAGTTTTGAATATTGTTTAACCCAGTTTTAAGAAGTATAATGAAGGACCTACCCATATATGGATGAACATGCTTGGAAAAGTGTCCTAATAATTTTGTGTGTTTGTGGTATTCAATTTGCAGTTTCCTACAGCATTTGAATTCAATGAATATTTTCTCATTACCATTTTGGACCATCTCTACAGCTGCTTATTTGGAACATTTCTGTGTAACAGTGAACATCAGAGAGGAAAAGAGGTAAAATATGTGCTGTGACCCTCCCCCTTCTACTCCCCACATGTGTCATGTTCCCACGAGGCTGCATTCTTAGATAGATTTCAACTGATTGTTTCTTTTGGATGATTTCTTTGGTCAAATTTTATTGCCACATACTGTAGTATTATTACTTCTTTCCACACACCTGAGCCTGATTTGTTTTCAAGTAGCTCTGTTGTGAGGCTGAAGGTGGCAGCTAGCTGTCCGGTGAGTTTGTGGGTGAAAAGTAGTGTCTGCTCAAGAGAACTGAGGTATTTGTAATCTTAAGAGCACCAATGTTATTCGTCAGGCCTTGCAGGATGGAAATCCTTCAAATCACATGCAGAAAAATGTAGTTAGCAAAATATACACGTATGAATGGACAGCTCAGATCCCCAAATACCTTCTGCATACATAGGAGCCATTTTAATTTTTTTTTAATTTGTAAAATAATACTGTAAAACATCCAAACATTAACAAGATACTATGTAGAAAGTTACCATTTCCTTGCTTCACCAGTGAGATCATTGGTAAGTGGTTGGTATTATTTAAAAGAAACTTATAGGGATTACATTTCAAGTTTTACTCCTGACCTCAAAGTATCTCTATCCTATATGTATGAAATTCCAAATCATCTTGATTTGGTGTCTCCCTCTGCATCAGTTTTCATTCTGAAAATGTGATTATCAACTACTTTATTCTTGCTGTTCTGTTAAAGCATTATGGCAGGGAGTGGAGCCAGGCTGCCCCGGTTGAAATCTTGGATCTATCTCTTCTTGTGTAACCTTAGGCAAGTTCATTCCTGCTTTGGTAAATTAGGAAAAATAGTACTTACTATTGTGTGGTTAAATAAAACACTAAGGTAACTGCCATGTAGTAGACTGTAAGTTCCTTGAAGGCAGGTATTAAAACATTTTATTTTAAAAGATTGTATCTAGTTAAGCACAGGAGAGGTGGGGAGGGGCAGAGGGAGAAGCAGAGAGCCTGACATGGGGCTGATCCCAGGACCCTGAGATCTTGACCTGAGCTGAAGGCAGACTCTTAACCAAGCCACCCAGGCGTCCCTTAAAAATGTTAATATACTGTATCTCCAGTGGCTAGCATGCAGTCAGTATTCCTATGCATAGGAGGCATTTAAGAACTTACTGAATTATTAGATAACTAAAAGTACCTAAATTCCAAAGATACTTTTAATCTTTTGAGAGCCTTGAATACGATTTAACTGTATCTTGATTTTAAGAAACTTTTGCTGAGCTATAATTTGCAGTCCATAAAATTTTAAGTGTATGATTTAGTAGTTTTCAGTTTCTCTAGAGTCGTACAGCTATCACCACTACTAACTTGGGAACACTGAGAAGTACCCAATCACTTCTCCTGGTCCCTTGGCAATCACTGATGTCTGGGTTTGGTTCTCCTACATTTGTCCTATAGATGGAATTATTCAGGATGAGGCCTTTGTGTCTGGCTTCTTGCACTTAGCCTGTTTCCAAGTTTCTGTAATATGTATCAGGATTATTCCATTATATAAACATACCACCTTGTATCCGTTTATCAGTTGATGGACTTGTGGGTTGTTTCTTCCTTTTGGCTCTTATGAATCATGGTGATTTGAACATCTGTGTACAAGTTTTTGTGTGCATATGTTTCTGTTCTCTTGGTATATATACCTGAGTGTAATTGCTGGATGGGAACTTGATTAAGTTTTTAATGAAATGCACTATTTTCTAGTACTCTCTTATTTTAATGAAAGTGAGGCTGTCACTGAAGTGTCCATGTCCTCTCCCTCTAAAGAGATTTTAATAATCAAAAATACTTATGTTTCCTTCATACAGAATCTTCCTAAAAGGACTGTGTCACTGTGGTCTTATATAAATAGCCAGCTGGAAGACTTCACCAATCCTCTCTATGGGAGCTATTCCAATCACGTCCTGTATCCGGTAGCCAGCATGCGCCACCTAGAGCTCTGGGTGGGGTATTACGTCAGGTGGAATCCGCGGATGAAACCCCAGGTACGCATGCTCACCAGTATACAGTGGGAGTGTTCATCCATGCAGTTTTATATCAGTTAGGTTCACCCCCTTAAAGCAACTAGAAAAATTAGGTATACTTAAGATTTTTTTCTGTTAATGGTTAGAATTGTCTAGTAGAAAAAAGCACTACACGGGGAATCAATATACTTGATTCTTACTGATTTTGCTTGTCGGTCTTAGGTGAATCACTTGTCTTTTCCTCTCTTCTTGGAAAGATGAATGTGGTCGATTTGAGAACTTCTACAAGCCATTTTAATAGTTTGAAGAAATAGCTGTAAGAAAATTAAAAGCCAGACAAGATTCTAGTCCATTTTGACATATGTCTCGTAATGTGTAGTACTTAGAACTGTTTAAAAGACTAAAAATCTGCAAGTAAATGATAGGCAATCTTTGAGTTTGGGCTTTTAGATTGTCTTAGTTGTTTGTTGTATTTAAGTACCAGCTTCAGGGTGTGTTTGTGGGAAGGCTATTGAAAGAACAGTGTTGTCAGCAGAGTCCAGTTAATTCTCACCGATGTGCTGGAAAGGCTTGGTCCCCGTAGCTGGTGACCATTTAGGAAAGAACTATATGCTAGGATTACTGGACTTTGGGTCTGTTTAGGATTGCCTAGTTGAATGACATCATGGTGTTCTGCTCTTGTAGGAGCCCATTCACAACAGATATAAAGAACTTCTTGCTAAACGAGCAGAGCTTCAGAAAAAAGTAGAGGAGCTGCAGAGAGAAATTTCCAACCGATCAACCTCATCCTCTGAGAGAGCCAGTTCTCCTGCACAGTGTGTCACTCCTGTCCAAACCGTTGTGTGAAAGGACCGTACGAGGGGGTCCAGCGTTGCCATGAACTCTGGATTATAATGGCAGCTTTAGGAGTTACACAGTCTTCCTAAGTTAGAACCCACCCATGGGAGAAATTAAGTTGCTTTATTTATTTTAAATCTCTCTAGGATGGGTTTAGAACTGTAGCAGTGCAGGTGGTTTATGTGAAATAACCCCGTAATTATATGATTATGACACTAATCTTTTGGAATTTAAAGTGGATCTGAGAAAGTCACCCAAAGAATATGAAGATGCTTCAATACCAGACCTACAATGGGAACAAGTTTCTGAATTTAAAATCAAAGTACAGACCACTTCAGAAACATACCTCTTGATGGAAGAGAACTCACTGTACAAAGGGAAGGAGCATCAGTTATCATGGCGCACCAGCGCTGCAGTTCCGTGGCATTATATACATTGAACCTCCATGTCATGAAAAAAGCTCAGAATCATTTGATACTCCTTCCCCCATCATGGGTTTTTCTATTCTGGTGTAAAGTGATTTACTTTGATCACCTTTCTGCAGCACACACTCTTCATATATGATATGGCAAAGTCTTAAGGATATTGTGGTGTAGTTAGTAGTTGAAAATTGTTGTCATTACTGGCATACGTATTTAGGATGTAGTAGATAGCGGTTCCAAACTGATGCCTTAAAGATTTTCTTGGGGGCAGGGGAGCAGGGTTGAGAGGAGGAATTGGTAGCCGTCCTGGATTTCAAAGAATTCTACACCCTTCAGATTAGTTTCCATAGGCCCAATTACTAGAAACAATGAAACACATTTTACAAATTCATTATTATCTTACTCTGTTGCATTTATGTTTTGTGTGTGTGTCTGAACTCAGAAGTTAATTAGTTTTGAGGAAATATTTTAAAATAAGTTTACTAGGTTTCACTTTTTTTCTGAAGTCTGTATACATAGCTTATGGGTGAGAAATACTATGCTCAAATTTTACATGAAATATTTTACTACTACTTTACTTTGCAAATTCTGTAATTCCACTGAAAGATGAAGTCTACCAAAGAACTTACTGCATGTGCACATGTATTACAATCTCAATGCCAGTAAAGGAAATACTGCTTCACTGTTCGCCCGCCAGTAACAGTTCAGTGCTGGTATCATTTGAGTCCCTGGTATCCTAAGAGCCATATGTTATGTACTGTAACAAAGGAGCTTCTTGTCCCTTGGGTCTTTAATTAAAAGGAAATTTCAACCAACTTTTAAACTTGTCCTTATCCTAAGTTGTTTGCCTTAAGAAATGTTATTTGGAAAGTTCTTGAAGAAACGGGGTAGCTTATTAGAACCTGCTCCAAATTGAAATGTTCAGTTTCAACCCATTTTGCTTCTAATACCCAAATCAAACAGTACTCAAAAATGCAGTATTCTGTGTCTGGACCTTAGTCCTATTCTCGGGTTTTGTGGTGAGGAACTATAATTTCTCTTAGTACATCCAATATTAGCAAAATTAGTATGATTTGGTCTGTGATAATTCGTTACAAGAAAATTAATAATGGTATTTAAATAGCCAACCTATCCATTGAAGCTAAGTTTTCTATTCCAAATATTTTACAAATCCATTCTTTCTTGTCCATTCTACCATTTTCCTCATTTAAGCCTTTATCATCTTGGTCTGATGCCACATAGAAGAATTTATATGACTGATGAGCTCAACTATTTCAACCTTCCAGTCTCTGTACCCTCACATCCACTTTAAATTCCAAAGGCCAGAGCAATCTAAATGCAAATCTAACACCATTTTAAGACTTTCCAGGGGTTTCCTTTCACATTCTGCGGGAGTCTCCAAAGTGGAGTGCATTTAAGATAATCCACTGGTGGTAACGTCAGGATCCTGATGGCATGAGACATTCCTCTTTCGTCCCCCTTGACTTACAACTAATTGGACACCACAGGACGTCCATCTGTGTATCTTAAGTCAAAGGAAGCTATGGAGCCAAGGGAGTTACGGTGGCAAGGATGACAGTGACCTCTGTAGCAGAGGGTGCCTGAAAGTCGGCTTGGGCTACAGCTGGAGGGTTCTGTTGCTTTTTAGGAATGCCTGGATTTCTGAAGAGACCCCTCCATGACTGGGTAGAGGGAAAGAAAGCAAGCAAAGAATGCTGAAGGGACAGGTATTCCTGCCATACATCCTGGGATTCCAGAAAGAGGTCCATCCACGGGCCTTTGGGAATCCCCCACTCTATGATGGCTCTACCAGGCCACAGGTGCACCTAAAGCCCTGAGTGCTTAAACACACACCTCCCACCACTCTGCTTCCAGTCTTTTAAAAAAAAACAAACAAAACCTAAGATTTTATTTGAGACAGCACATGGGCACATGTGTGTGAATGCGGTAGAGGGGCAGAGGGAGAGACTCTCAAACAGACTGTGCTGTGCTCCTGGAGGAGCCCAAGGAGGTGCTGGATCTAAAGGCCCTGAGATCATGACCTGAGCCCAAACCAGGAGGCGCTCAACCCACTGAGTCACCCAGGTGCCTCCAGTGTTTTGTTTTTTTTAATGCCACTTTCTTTATGCACATGACCAACTTTAGCAGTGAGTCACTCCCAGTAATAAAAACCGAAAAGCTTGTGCTATAGTACCACCTTCTGGAAAACAAAAGAAAGGCTTTTAACTGCTAACCTGATGAACTATTAATCAAAGTTAACAAAGCCTTACCTAAAGAAGAAGGATGTTTGCTACTTTAAATGTGGATAGGCACATTTCATTGAACACTGTGAAAAATGGTAATACAGTATCACAGAAAGGCGATGACAATTCACCAACTGCACTCAGAGACAGAATACTGCAATCTAATAAATAATTCAAAATAACAGGACAAAATTAAAAAAGCTACAAGAAAATTCGGAAAGGCAATTCAGTAAATTAGGAATAAAATTAATGAACATATAAGTACTTTAAAGAGACTGAAATTCTAAAAAAGAATCAAAATGAAAATCTTTAGCTGACCTACTCAATGAGATGAACATTATTAGAAAGCATTGGAAATAGAGCAGATCAGATGGGAGAAAGAATAAGGAAGCTGAAGATAGGAATTTAGAAATGATTCAGGTGGAAGAGGAGAGAGAATAAGATGTTAAAAAGATGAACACACCCTATAATAATGGTCAGACTTTATTACAAAAGCCACCATAAGATTAATGGTGGGTATAACAGAAAGAGAAGAGGAGGAGACAGAGTTTATAGAAAGAAATAACGGTGGAGAACTTCCTAAACCTGGAGGAGGAACTGGATATACAAGAATACAAAGCTAACAGAACTTCTCCATGACACATTGTAATGAAATGGTCAAAAGTCCATGATAAAGCCAGGGGGAAAAAGACCCACAAGGGAACCCCCACCATTAGGCTATCAGATTTCTCAGTACAAATTCTACAGGCCAGGAGAGAATGGAATGACCTATTCAAACAACTGAAAGATAAATATCACCAGGCAGAAATCCTCTAAGTGGCAAAGTTATCCTTCAGAGATCAAAGAGAAATAAAGGATTTCTGAAACCAATAAAATGTGAGTTCACCACCACTAACACTGCCTTACAAGAAATATTGGAAGTAGCTCTTCCAGGTGAAAAGATCTAAGTACACAACATTCTTACTAAGGCCATCATTGGACAGAAAACTCTTATATTAGAATATAATAATTGCAGCACAGATTAAAAGCATTAAAAATAACCATTCCTATGAAAATTTGGTAACAGTTCACAGTATAACGAGATCATTTGTGACATCTAAAGTATAAAAGGATGAAATAAGGTAAACGAAGATAAATTTTTTTTTAGATTTATTTATTTATTCATGAGAGACACAGAGAGAGGCAGAGACACAGGCAGAGGGAGAAGCAGGCTCCATGCAGGGAGCCTGATGTGGGACTTGATCCCAGGACTCCAGGATCACACCCTGGGCCAAAGGCAGGTGCTAAACCGCTGAGCCACCCGGGGATCCCCCAAAGATAAATTTTTACCAGCATAAAATGGCTTTTCCTAGATGTTTTATGTAAAACTGGTCATCACAAAGCAAAAATCTAGAGACCCTAAACAGAAAAAGGACACTGAGCAAATCCCCAAGCACAAACCCCAGCTCACAAAGTTAGAAAGAAAAAGAAACAACAGAGAAACAAACTTGAAGGCAAAAGAGAAAATGGCAGTACTGAGTCCTCACATACCAATAATCACCCTACATGTAAAATGGATTGATTTTACTAGTTAGAATGCAGAGTAGCTCCATGGGTTAACAAAAAACAGAAACAAAAAGGCCTAAAGGCCCAACTGTATGCTCTCTACAGAAGACTCATTTCAGCTCTAAAGACCTACATAGGCTCAAGGTGAAAGGATGGAAGATGACATCCAAAGCAAGTGGAAACCAGAACAAGGTGGGCATTGCCTACTTACACCAAGTAGACTTTAAACCCAAAATTTAAAACTGGCAAAGGTCATAATAACATGATACAACAATCATAAATATGTATGCTAACACCTGAGCTCCAAAATATATTAAGCAAATACTAACGGAACTTAGGGGAGAAACAGACATTAAAATAAGAGTAGGGGACGTTAATACCCCACTATTGCCAATGGCAAGATCATCCGTATAGAAAACAAGGGAGATGTGGCCTAGTGGTCTAAGGCTCTGGGTTAAGAAAATCAACACGGTAAACACTGGCACTGAACCACAATTTACAGCAAGTAAACTTACTAGATGTACAGAACAATTAATCAAACAGCAGAGTACACATTGTTCTCAAGTCCACACACACCTTCTCCAGAGCAGATCATGATAGGACCCGAATCTTAGCAAATTTAGACTGAAATCACATTATCTTTTCTGATCACAGTGTGTAGATCTATAAATGTATGGAACTTAACACACTTCTAAACAAATAGGTCAAAGAAATCAAAAAGGAAAGAAGAAAAGTTTATAATAATAAACACAGATGTTAAGAAATTAGATCTCAACCTAACTTTTTATCTCAAGAAAATAGAAAAAGAACAGATTAAGCTCAAAGTTAGCAGAAGAAAAGAAGTAAAACAACAGAAATAAATGAGAGACCAGAGAAACAAGAGAAAGGATCAATTGAACTAAGACCTGGTTCTTGGAAAAGATAAAATTGACAGACTTTTAGCTAGATGGAGAAAAAGAGGAGACATTACAACTGATACCACAGAAAGACACAGGATCATAAGATACTCCTATGAAGTTAGATGCCAAAAAATTACATAACAGTACCCATCAAGATATCAAAGGCATTCTTCACAGAAATATAACAATCCAAAAATTTTGGATCCAAAGCAATTCCAGGAAAAAGACCACAGCTGAGGCATCCTTGAACAACATGGCCACTAGGGGTGTAGACCCCTCATGCAGTTCAAAATCCTAGTATAACTTCTGACTTCCCCAATACTTAGCTACTAACAGCCTACTGCTGACCAAGAAGTCTTACCAATAAGAGTCAAAAAACATATTCTGTGTTATATACTGTATTCTTAAAGCTAGAGAGAAAAAAAGGCAAGCTCATAAGGAAAATAAAATACTGTAAAAAATCCATTTGTAAGTGGACCTATCCAGTTTAAACTCCCGTTGTTCAAGGGTCAGTTGTATACTACTAAGCCATAATAATAAAAATAGTCATGGTTCTGTCACAAAACCAGAATAGACGCCAGGATTAAATCCTGGCATATGTAGTCAACTAATATTTGACAAGGGAGCCAAGAACACTTGACAGGGAAAGAGACTGTCCCAGTCTCTTCAACAAGTGGTGCTGGGAAAACCGGAGAAATACATGCAGAGAACAACGAAATTGGACCCCTACCTCACACCACTCACCAAAATTAACTCAAAATATATCAAAGACTTAAATGTAATACCAGATGCCATAGAATTCCTAGAAGGAAACAAGAGGAAGCTCCTTGAGGTTGGTCTCATTGATTTTTTTGGACGTAATGCCAAAAGCACAAACAACAAAAGGAGAAAATAACAAATGGGATTACATCAAACTCTGCTTATGCAACTTTCATATTTGAGTTGATAGTTGTTTTATATATAACTTTGTATCTATGTCTATTGGTTGTGCAGGTGCCCTTTCTCCTTTATGACCAGGGATACAAAACTGAGACCCATGTGGTTATGTCAAAGCTCTTTAGCCTCCTGTAACTTGTCAGCTTATCCTTCTATTCTCACTTGCATACCTCAACTCATGTACCAGTGCCA